AATATATTATTATGCTGTATAAACTTTGAGATGCCCTTGTAAGCCTTGAAGCAGGTTTTAAACAACCAAGTCTCCTTTAAAGGTTTAGAGATGTTTTATACAGATTTGAAAAATGTTTATTTTATATAAAACATATCTAAACATAAAGATAAATTGCATATAGAAAAAAACCTGGGGGCAATTTTATTGCCAGTAACTATGCCAAAGTTCATGTTCTAAATAAGGTCAGGCATCCCTCCTTGGAGGCACTTTCCAGGTAAGTCAGGCAGGAAGCCCCTGCTAAAAAAGGAGCCGACCTTAACAGCAGGGTTCCCCAACACCAGAGGTGTGTGATCAGTCAAGATTACCCATCACAAGGAGACAGAGGGAATCTCAATTCTGTTTTGCATGGTCTATATGAGAGGCATGAGTAAGGATCGTGCAGGGTGACATCACATACCTACCCACCCTCTCCCAGGGAAACACCACTGTTGCTCTCGTGGAACAGCAAATCAAGTCTTCCCAACATGTTTTGATGTGGTGGGCCCCCCAGGCTACACCTCAAAACCACTAAAAATCTGAATTTGAGCTCCATTTTCTCTTTAATCTAGAAACTGAAGTCAGCCATGAAAAGAAGAACATAGGGCTAGGGAGACCCAAAGAATTTGGGTAGTGGCCAGGAAACAGTTTTAACACTGGAAAACAGCTTGCAAGATAGTCTTTTTTCCCTCTCCAGACCTATGAGCTTTATAGCCCCATATGCCTGATGTCTAAGAGATAAGAAAATTTGGGCATGTAGGTAAAATGTTTTAGATTTTTAGGGAAAACAGGTGAAATCTGACTTATAAGGCTGACATTATTTTGATTTATAGGCATGGCAGCCAGAATGTGGTAGGATGTAGTGACATCACTAGTGACTAGAAGACATTCTTCGGGCAGGGTATGCCCCAAGGTGCCATCCCAAGATGATGGCATTCAGTAGCGAGAGGCCACTCTTTTCTTATGTCTCACCAGAACAAGAAGCAATATATCCTGATCATTGCTTGCTGCGTGGGGTTTATGCTGATGCTGATATTGTTCCTGGCTGTTGTCCTGCGAGGTAAGGAGGGCAGGGACAGGTAGTATGGACCTACAGGGATAGACTTTGGGGCTAAACTTCGGGGATGGATCATCGAGGATAGACTTGTAGGACTAAACCTGCAGGGATGGAACTTTGGGGTATACATTCAGAGTCTACAGACTCCAGGATGGTCTGGCAATGGGCTATTTCTATCCCCTTCCCTGTTCTTCCCTTCACAAAGAGACTCAGCACTATCACTATCCCCATTCCGCCATGGGGGTGATGGGTAAGCTCCTCACTACTAGTTTTGTGTATTATCCCCCTGGTAAGGGTGGCACTTTGGTAATGAGAAATGAGACTAAGAACCTACCCATCAGGTGGAAACTTGTTCTGTGCCAGTCTGAATACCATATGCAAGTCATGCCTAAATTTTCTGTCTTCATTACTGGTTTGAGTAGGAAGGACTGTTTTCTCACTGTCTTTGAGTTGGGGACTCCCTGGACTCTCCTGAATTCCACTTTTAAGGAGATCCTCAGTACTAAAACCATGAATGATCTTGGTCTTATGTGTTCCTTTAAAAAAACACTTTCTTAAGGACCACAGGGGGCCTTCAGAAGAGATAAGCCCATGAGAATAGTTTGCCAGTGTGGTCGTGTGTCCATGTCTGCATTTTTTGGATTAAAGTTCAGAGTTTTCATGAAATTCTAAAGTGGGCCCATGACTTGCATCCTCCCTGACAAAAATTATAAACACTGCAGAGAAGAGCTGTGAAATGAGATTTATGGTTTTCAAGTAACATATAGGCACAGAGCACTCATTGCTGTTATAAAACAGGGAAATTAGTGCTTCGGGGCAGTCAACCATGAGATGAGACTGTTAGCCATGATGCCTGTCCCCAGCAATACTACAAAAGGAGATCTAGAACTTGGTCAAAGCTTGCTGTTAGTAGTGACATGAAGTCATGACTACTGTTTTGGAAAGTTAGGGCATATCTCATAAGAAGTGTTTTAAAACCCAGTTGACTTTAATTCCAGCACTCAAGAGGCAGAGGCAAGTGGATCTCTCTGAGTTCTAGGCCAGCCAGGGCTACATAGTGAAAGACTCTGTCTTAAAACACAAACAAGAAAACACCAAATTAAGGTCTAGAGAAATAGCACAATAGGTAAAATGCCAGCCACGCTAACTCGAGAACCTGAGTTTGAAACCTAGTTCCCAGGAAAAAAGGCCAGGCATTATGGTTCGTGCTTATTATCCCAGTGCTGGGAAGACACAGACAGGCAGGTCTCTGGGACTCTCTGGCCAGCCAGCCTACTCTAATTGGCAAGTTCTAGGTCAATAACAGACTCTTAAAAAACAAGTTAAACAGTACATAGGGAACACTTAGGAGTGACTTCTGGCTCCCACATGCTCCCACACTTGCACACGTATGCATTTGCACCTACATACACACATGCACTCACACATACATGAACATGTACACACACAAAAAAAAACTCAAATGAGCCTTTGAATAACGCCTTAAAAATGCAATAGCTGGCTGGGCATTGTGGTGTACACCTTTAATCACAGGATTTGGGAGGCAGAGTGAGACAGATGTCTGTGAAATGGTGGCCAGCCTGGACTATATAGTGAGTCCCAGGCCCACTGGAGCTACAGGAGACCCTGTCTCAAATAACAGAAACAACAACAACAAAAACCCACCAGCTTGACCTCATTGATGACAACAGAGGAACAGCTTTGACTTGAATGGGTTGGATTGAAGGTCAGAGGCGGTAAGGATTTCGCCTGGGGAAGAGCGACTGCTGTTCTTGCCAATGTCAGTCTAAGGTCTCACCTTCAAGTATGAAGTTTGGAAGGGAGGGGTGGGCTTTCACCAGCATTTTGCAAAGCAGCTCTTCTCATTTTGCCGCCTTGCCTTTCCAGGGAAAGTCACGGAAACCAATTGTTTGCAGAAACACAAGAGGTAATTCATCTTGCATGACCGATTGTTGTAATGATTATACAAGCTGTTACAGATGATTAGATACTACTCAGTGGTTTAACGACTTGTGCTTGTGTTCTGATTAAACACGAGGTTGGAGAGACATGGCATCAGAGGTGAAAAAGATGTGGAGGTGTAGCTCAGTTAACCTCCGTTTCAGTTAGCACTGCATGTGTGTCCAGAAGGGACATTACCGAAGCTGGTAACACTGACAGAAGCTTACCATGCGGAGGAAGAAGGAGATGTGACTGTGGCCTGAGCTTGAGGTTGGTTCAATGCTGGGTGACCCACTGCATTGAACAACAAAGTACATTGTTCTTTGGCGAGGAATGAGAAGAGAGTGGCAGTGTGCAAGTTAAATAGAGTATTTGCAATGCTATTCCTGAGTTTTGGTTTCTCTGTCCAATTAGACCATGGGAGCAATATGATATTTCTATTTTAGTAGTATATGAAGAGTTTCTAGAATTAGATTTTAGACATCCTATGGCTTTTAGAGGGGAAAAGATAAAAGGATTTGGTATTCATTCATTGCACTAATTAACTGAATTAACACAACAATATTTATTAACGATGAAGCATTATTGGGTTGGGAATCTGAGGCCCAGCAAAGTGACCTTCTGAGTTAAAGGTGGGGAACCTTTAGGAAAATCAATACATTTAGATCATAATTTTATAATTGGTTAAGCGGGTTCTAATCTTATTATAATAGGTTGTTGAAGCCCTCTGTGCTCTACAGCCTCAGTTTCCCTACAAGTAAAATAGGAGGGTTGGGTGAGATGGACTCTGAGCCCTGTGAATGTAGCCTGGGCTACCTGTGCTTTGGTTTGTCCTAGCCTTCACCAGCCTTCCTTTTCTCTGTACAGGCTAGACAATGCTGGAGAGAATAAAAGCGTGCTCAGTGACGTGCCAAATGGAAGGGAAGAGGAGGATGGGCTCTTCACTCTCGAACTTGCTTCTTATGCTTAGGGGTGAGCCCGGGGAATGGACACTTGAATTGTCAAGATAAGTTTGGGGACACTGTAATATTTTTAAAGTCTTGTCTCTCCCACTGATGTGATGTGTCCGGTCTTTGTGTCCGGTCTTGCTTTAACTCCCCATACGAAAGTGCTTCACAGCATTCACCTTCTCTGCCCTGTCTGTAGCCACCTCTGTAGTTGGATGGCTAGGTGACCTATCACACTAGACTTGAACACTGACCATGCTGATCAGCTCATTACCACACCCAGGGGAGTCTGCTCAGTCTTGGGTAAGTTCTGAGAGTCAGAAATCTTTAAAACAAAATCTTTCTGTGGACAGTATCTGCCTATTGGTGGTAGCTGAACTCTGCATCTCCCGTCTAATCTGTCTTCTGCTTGGCAGCTCTCTGGGAAATGGAAGAAAAGCCTCATTACCTGGGTTGCCTGGCTTCTGAGGCACAGTTTCTGGTCCCCTTCCTGGTTGCCTTCATGCTATATGTGTTTATACCTCCATCTTTCTGAGTTCAGTGCCTACCCCACACAGCAGCCCAGAACCCATGTTTCATTCATGACAGAGTATTATCATGGAAGTCTGGCTCACATCTAAAACTCCAGAGTTTTCTTTTAATTTCTTCTTACATTTGAGTATCTTTAAAGATGACCATAGTACTTCTTAACTCATTCTGGAGGAGTTTAATTTTGGAAACAGCCAAGAACCCATCAGAGAAAAATGTAGTGAATGATGGGGACGGTACACAGTTAAAACCATGAGGTGGTCCAAGGAAATTCCTCTAATTATAATTCATGGCAATTCGCTGTTCAGAAAGAACATATTTGTTTTTAAACTTTGATAACTGCTAGTACAAAGAAAATCAAGCGATAAATTTAAGGAAATAGCTGTGGAATGAATGAATGTAAAAAAATGCCTGAGGGAGAGAGATGCTTCTGCTCATCACTGTGGAAGGCAAGCCACATCTGCAAGACATTCTTCAGATTCTCCCATATGCTCAGGGCAACAGTACCGTTAAAGGAACAAGCATATGGTCCTCCAGTGTCCTCCAGATAACCCTCTTTTGGGTTTCTACTCCCTTGACATTACCTTTAAGAGGGTGAACAACGGGGCTGGAGAGATGGCTCAGCGGTTAAACACTGGTTGTTCTTGCAGAAGACCTGGGTTTGAATCCCAGCACCCACATGGCAGCTAACAACTGTCTGTAGCTCCAGTTCCAGGGGATCCAACAACCTCTTCTGTCCTCCGCAGGCATTGCATGACACGGGTGCCCTTATTTACATGCAGGCAATACACTCATACACATAAAATAAAAATAAATAAAATATTGAAATAAAAATAAATAAAATATTAAGAAAGAAAGAAAAAAAAAGAGGGTGAACAAATGACCATTGAGATGGCTCAGTGGGTAAAAGAAAAAAAAAAAGAGGGTGAACAAATGACCATTGAGATGGCTCAGTGGGTAAAAGTGCTTGCCGCCAAGCTTGATGACCCAAGTTTGATCTTGACGACTCACATGGTGGAAGGACAGAGTGAACTTTTGCAAGATGTCTTCAGATGTCCACACATGCACCATAGCACATACACACATGCCCCTCTCCCATATCATGTACATACATGCACACATACACGAAATACAATTCAAAATATTGTAAAAGAGGCAACCAAAATTAGCCTCATGGTACAGCCTACAGATCCATAGCCCTTAGCTGACATGCTGCGATCCAGTTGGTAAGAACCCCTCCAACTTGGACAACAGGGGCCCAGAGCAGCCCAGCTTATACTGTAGGTGTGGAGTAGGAAGGATAGAAACCATTAGCTACAGCATGGTAGTTGTTTCGGTTCTCTTTTAGACACATTAAAATTAGCTTAAGATGCTACCAGCAACTCTACTGTGCTAAACTCAGTCATTGATAACCTAAGGAGTGACATAGGACTAATGTTAAGATGGAGGTCAATACTATGATCTGGAAAACAGAGTTTGACTAGATGACTTGGTAAAGGCAGTTTATGAGAGGTGTCTCAATGGTACTGTTGCCCGCATTAGTTCCCTCTCCCACTCCCCTGTCCATTTTTTCCTAAAATATTTTCTTCATAATTTTATGTGTATGAGTGTATTGCCTGCTCATATGTAAGTGCAGCTGTGCTGTGCAATGCCAATGGAGGTCAGAAGAAGGCATTGGATCACCTGGAACTGGAGTTACAGACAGTTGTTAGCTGCCATGTGGGTGCTGGGAATGAACCCAGGTCCTCTGCAAGAGCAGCCAGTGCTCTTACCCACTTAGCCATGTCTCCAGTCCCCTCCCCTGTCCATTTTCCAAAACCGCTTTTATTGTCAGTCACCAACTTGAACCTGACTAGAAAAAAGTCATCCAGTAGCTCCAAAACAGAACATTTCATCTCAATGACCATTTTCAATTATTTCCAAATTTGACCCTCCATTCCTAGGTTAGACTAAACCACAATTCCAAGTACTTGCACAGTTGTAGTGTCTTAGAAGTGGTAATGGCCTCCATGAATCTCTACCCTAATAGTCCCCAAACTTAGGAGAAAATTGCAGTCAAATAGGAAGTTTTTAAAATGTGAATCTCTAAGTCTACCCCTCCAGAGTATTTTGTAGTCAGTCTAGGGTATGACTTGAGCAACTGAACATTTTTTAAGGACCCAAAACTGTTCTAACAAGCAGCCAGTGCTCTTACCAGAGTAATTTGGGGAGTCCAGCCAGAGCCTCCCCATATTACTTGAGAAATTGGAATCTCTTTTAGGGGTTCTTTGTCTTGTTAATAAAAGAATTTAAGAATGGGCTCAAAAGGAAGAATGAAGACAGTGTGGCTAGAGCTTAAAAGAAAAACACCAAAGTGGCAAGCTGTAAATGTTTGTAACTTCCTAATGGAGGGAGACAGATAAGAGAGAGAGAGAGTCCTGCTGTTTGAGTAAAGCTGGCATGAAGGTGAGCCACTTGGGGACAAGTGGCCTCATGGCAGAGAGGGGCAGTTTAGAGAAAGGATGATAAGAGACAGCTTAGGGCAGGAATCAAAGGAAAGAAGATGTTAGGATTTTCTGAGGGTTTCAGAAAGTGGGCAGACTTACAAATCAGCATTGATGCAGCTCTGTGACTGCCCAGGGGGCAGGGATTCTGGAAAGGAATGGTACATTATGGCATGAAAAATAATTATGCTTCCCATGCCTTTAGCATGGCTTAATATGAACTCACTTTCCTGAGGTGTGGTCTCTTGGACAGGTGACTGACTAGCCCAACTGGATTGACTCTTCAGGGAGGAGGCATTGTCTCTACCCAGAGGCAGACTCCATTATCTAACAGCGCTTCCCTCTCGTGTTCCAGCCTGGCAGTTCTCAAGCTATACCCTTCAGTCCAGCAGCCACCACATCATCCGAGCTTGTTAGGAATGCAGATTCTTGCTCCCATCCTGTACCTGCTGAACCAGAAACTCTGCAGGGAAAGCCTGGAGATCCATGGTTTAACAAGCTCTTTGCAGGGTAATAGCTTTAAACAGGTACATTCTCCTTTACTCAGACTGTGTGACGGCAACTCTGGATGGACAGAGAGTCCGGAGCTTCCTTCACGAGCAGGCTGGGTTCCTGTGGATTCCCCTCCCAGAAGCTAGCATCACAACTTGCTTGAATTTTGAAGTAGCTTCCCATCTGGATCCACAGGCTGCCCTCCTTTCCCTGCTAACGTCTTCTCTGCACAGACAAGAGATCTCTCTCTTCAGGACAGACCTGTGACTTCCAGCTCTTAGACTCACATAGAAGTGCACTTAGGTTCTCCCTGGGGCAGGGTGACAAACTGATGACTTCAGAGACCAAGCGTTTGATACAGCTGAGTGAAAACTGGAGGTGATGTGACTTGTGAAGGAAAATCAGCCTGACAAATGACTGACTGAACTGACCATCTGCCCACCCTGACCCCACTCCAAGAAGGAGATATGTCTATTTCAGAATGCTTTGCTTCTAGGAAAAGACACCTGATTCCTTGTCGGCCTCCTTGAAGATCTGGTTCCTTATCAAACCCCCAATCAGAACTCTCATCTCTCCTTCACAGATTTCAGGAAGAAGCTCTATACAACCCAAGAAGGCACAACCCACCTTCTGGGATTCCAGAAGAACATGACCCCCTATCTGGGATTTTCTGGGCCCACTTATAATTCCCAGACCTCCCCCAACCCCAAAGTACAACCTCCATTTCTAAGGTTTCTTGCTTGCCCCTCATGGCTAATAAAGCTATTTGCATCTGTTGGGGTCGAATTGGATTCCTACCTTTTTATTCTCAGGTCACCTTCTCATTCAGGATTCCAACAGCTGGTGTCGATGGAAATGTGTGTGTCCAGTTGAAGGCATGAAAATTCAACCAAAGCCATGTCTAGGCAAACAAAACATGGCTATGGGCCAGAGGTCAGGGAGTAAGTTTTATAAAACGATGAGTTAATTTGAAAATGGGCTGGGGATGTAGCTCAGTGGTAGAGCACTAGCCTAGCATGCACAAGGCTCTCGGTTCCATCTCCAGCCCTGTTTACTCTAAGACTCCTTGATCAGAGGTGGTTGCTGGTATAGTTGTTTCCCATATTCTCTGTGTAATCAGGATGAACTAGAAGTTGTCTGCCAGAAACTTTATAGTATCTACTGTGTGCTACAGAAGGCTAGCCCAAGAGAGAGTCCCTTTTAAGGCATTTAAAAGGGAAATGAGACAAAACACACCTGGTGTATTAATTACTTTTCTGTTGCTGTCCTAGAGACACTGACCAAAGCAATTTAAAGAAGGAAGAGTTTATTTGAGCTTACAGTTCCAAGGGGCAAGAGTCCATTGTGGTGGGGAGGCATGGTGATGGAGGTGTCTGGAGGAGGAGCAGAAGCTAGGCTCTACATCTTCTAGCAGGCACAGGAAGCAAAAGAGCACTGGAGATCTGGCAAGGCTTAAAATCCCTCTAAGCCCACCCCCAGTGACGTGCTTCCTCCAGCATGGCCACACCTTTAAGACCTCCCAAAACAGCACCACCAACTTGGGACAAAATGTCCAAATACTTGGAGCCTATGGGGGGCATTCTCATTCAACCCACTATACCTAGGAAATGTGGGGGACAAGAAACTTGTTTTCCATTTGCACAAGGAAGGGTTTTGGTACAGTGTGGCTGTTGGAGTTGAGATGCGTAGGGATGTCTGCAACCAAGCATGTAGGATTTAAAACAACCTGATTTTCCACCTTGACCTTTCTAGGCTAAATGAAATCTGTTAACACAATCTGCCAGGAGCCCTTCTATATTCTAGGCACTCAACTAAGGGTTTCAAGGCAACTGTTGAATCCTGAAATAGTTCAGTGAAAGGGATATATTGTTCCTCCTTTGGAGCTAGGTAAGGAGAAGTGTAGAGATGGAAGAATTCAGTCTAGGTCACACCCTCCTGTAGCAGAATGAGGCCTTGAACCAAACCTGATACACTCTTTGTTTTGTTTGTCGTGTATCCCAGGGCCTTGAATTTGCTTTGTAACCAAGGATGATCTTGTTCTTATCTTCCTGTCTTCATCTCTCAAGAGCTGTGATCACAGGCTTGGGCCGTCATGTCCAGGAGGGACCCAATCCTCTCACCCCTATCCTAGGCTTTCCAGGGAGGGCTCTAGCTCATGCATCAGTAGGGCAGCCTTGACCTTCATTGAATCCAAATGGACTTTAGCTTACTGGATTCCTGGGGTAACCTGAATGTATTGAAGATTCTCCAAGTGCTCTCCCTTGGCAGCTCAATCTTCCCCTGTCCCCAGTTATTGACTCAGAACTTGATTTGCATTTGCAGAGAAAGCAGCAGCGCAAACCTGGCAGGAGCCCTAATGAAACCAGGTGGGACACATTTAAATAGGAATGTGTGGAGGTAACTCTTGGAAGAGCCGAAGCCAGCTGTCAGCAGGCTTAATGAAAGGTTAACAGGAGTTCTGCAATGGCTGGCTGGGGAGACTCTTTGTTTCTCTAAAGAAAACAGAAAGTTGAGAAGTGGGCTCCCTGGGTGGTGGCAAGAGCAGAGGGGGGAGCCACTTTGAAACCGCAGGACAGACTCTGCAAATAGAGTTTCATTTAGGTTTGTAAACACAACATGCTACAATCTTTATAGGAAAAAAGAAAAGTCCTGGAGTTTTCAGGGCTCTGAGCATATGAGGACAGCAGGGGGAAGTGTTTGCAAATAAAGGAATACCAGTGCTCTTCTGGAGAAGCTGGAGGTGCACCCCCAAACGAGGACTCATGGAGCAGAAGGTGAGTGCGCTCTTTGCTTGAGCCAGAAAGGGTTTGTTCTTTTTTACTATTACTATTTTTATTTCTATTTTATGTGATGAGTGTATTGCCTGTACGTATGTGAGTGCATCTGTGTCACACAATGCCCACCGAGGTCAGAAGATGGCATCCAATTCCCCTGGAACTGGAGTTACAGACAGCTGTTAGCTACCATGTGGATGCTGGGAATCGCACCCAGGTCCTCTGCAGGAGTAACCAGTGCTCTTAACCACTGAGCCATCTCTCCAGCCCCTAAGGTTCTGTTCTTAACCTATGCACATTTTTTTTGTGTTACACATAGATTATCAGGGCAAGGGCCAGAGCACAGGGAATGGAAAGAAGGGAGCAGGCTTGCAATTCCACCCTAGTTTTCAGCTGAAGACAAAGGGTGCAGGAGGTAAGTTGCTCTTGGCCACACACTAAACAGACCAGTGCTATAACAGGGACCTAAACTGCATTCCTTAAACTTGTCTCTGGACATGTCGTTAATTTGATTCTTGGTTTTCTTCAAGGTCGCATGATCTGCCTGCTTAGTGCCCCCCTATAGTGGAGTCACATCCACTAATCCATTATGTTCTCACTGGTGTAGTCATGCATTTCAGCATTTCTTTCCCTAACTATAACTGCCATGAGATCTTTCTCAACACCCTGTGATGCCACTACTGCTTTGAGAAGGAAGAACCAGAATGCAGAAGTGGAAAGGTGGGCTGCTCTATGGCTGTGTTAGCCTCCTAACTATGGGACTAATGAGCCCAGAGTTGCCTGGGGCTTCTTCAGATTTAAAACTCAAAGCCCAGCATGCTAGGGAAACATGTCCTGCCCTGTCCCAGGCAAACTGAGATGACTGATCCATCTACAGTCATACTAGGGATCAGAAACAAACACTTTCTGAGGTTTTCACTTATAGACTTTATACTTGACTTTGTGGTAGTGATCACTTTTTCCTGTGACTCTGCAGTTGGACCTGTGTAGAATCTAGTTTTCTGAGATCCAGTGTTCAAATAGTCTACTACCAGATCTAGAATCTAGAACCTTCCTGTCTTAGTCTGCTTTTCTGTTGCTGTGATAAGCACTCTAAAAGCAACCTGAGGAGGAAAGGGTTTATTTGGCTTATATTTCACGTCACAGTCACCACAAAGGGAAGTTGGGGTAGGAACTGGAGCAGAAACCATGGAGAAATCCTGCTTAATGACTCCCTCTCATGCTCACCCAGCTTTCTTATACAAGTCACGATCACCTGTCTAGGGATGGTGCTACCCGCAGTGGGCTGGGCCTGTCAATCATCAGTCAGGATAATCTCTTACAGACATGGCCACATGCCAGTCTGATCAAAGTAATTCTCCAATTGAAGATCCCTCTTCCTGGTTGTATTGACAATAAAAACTGACCCGCACACATCTATTCAAACCATGGGAACTCAAACCAGCTGTGCTGGATAGCTTTAGCATCAACTTGACACACCTGGATTGAGCGAGCCTCAGTTAGGGAATTTCCTCCATACGACTGGCCTGTGGCCATTTCTGAGGGGAACCTTCTTGACTGCTGAGTGATGTGGGAGGGCCCAGCCCACTGTGGGTGGTGCCACCCCTGAGCAGGTGGGCCTGTGTTGCATAAGAAAGCAGGCTGAGCAGGGGCCAGGGAGCAAGTCAGTAAGCAGCATTCCTCCATGGCCTGTGCTCCAGCTCCTGTCTCCAAGTTCCTGCCCTGAGTTCCTACCTTGGGCTCCCTGATGAACTGTGGCCTGGAATATGTAAGACAAATAAACCCTTTCCTCCCCAAGTTGGTAATGGTCAGAGTGTTTTGTCACAGCAATGGAGAAACAAGCTAGAACACCAGCTTGTAACAGCTGTACTGTAAACCCACTGAATCAGAAGTTTCAGTTTGGTTTCTAAGATGTCCATCTGACTTATATACAAGCAAATTTTCAGGAGCTCTGGTCCAAGGCATTAATTTTCAAACTTGGATACAAATGTAATCATGTGGAGAACTTTAAAAAGTTCTGGCTTCCATCTGAGGTCCAGATTTGATTGGCATGGGGAGACATTGTCATTGGAATCTGTCAAAGTACCTTAGGAGATTGTGATACGCACCAGTGCATGCAAGTCAATGAACTAATGGAGGTCGCTGTGCGTCAGACATTTATGTTGCTGGTTAATCAGGATAAAGCTTGGCTTGAAATTACAAGGTTTTGTGGTTCTGGTAATCCCAAATGGTTTTGCTCAAAGAAATGATCAATAAAATTTCTCCCCCGAAAAAAATCTGAGAGACAAGATAATGACCAATTATTATGAAAGATGCCCATTAAAGTAAGTAAAAGCTGGCTGGGGAGATGTCTCAGGGATAAAGTGCTTATTGCACAAGCATGCCAACCAGAGCTTATCTTCCCAGAAACCACATATGATCTGGGCGGGCATGGCAGCTGCCTGTAATCTCAGTGCTCTGGATGCAGAGATAGGAGATCCCAGTGAAAAGCTAGCTAGATAAACCAAATCACTGTGCTCTGGGGTCAGGGAGAGACCCAGTCTCAGCAAATAAAGTAGAAGGTGACCAAGGAAGGCATCAACCTCTGGTCTCCATACATACATTCACATATGTGTACAGGCACCAGCATACAATGTGCCCACCCACATGTGAACACGTATGCATGCATATGTACAATACACACACAATAGTAAGTGAAGCTAAGATTTAATATACTCACAGGATTTAATAAATGTGAGATCTATTCTCTTATACCTAAATTTAGTGGAAGACCCTCATCAATGAGCAACTGGTCATTCATTGTCTCCTAAAGATGGTATTTAGCTTCGAGTAAGAGAATACAGAAAGTGGCGACTAATGAGTCAAGACTGGAATATTTTTAGGTTACTAAGAGTTTTCACACAGGGATGCCACAGGCTTGGCTTTGTAGCTTCACTGAGTTGAGGAATTAGTCAAGATTCTGTGACTTTCTTGCCTCATGGTTGCAGGATGGCTGCAGATGCT